AACAAGCTTTGGCTTTGTATTGTGAGTGCTCTCTGTAGGCCTGCAACTTCTGTGTCCTCCTGCCTCTTTGGAAAGTGGATAAATTATTCTCTATTATTTAACCGTAAGTTAAAAAGGATTATGCTGATGAATGTAAACCAGATTGGGTCTGGGTATTTGTGGAGAAGTTAAGTGTCTTCTGTTATTGATGGTGCTGAAGGCACACAGTGTTGCCACTGACTTGTGTTCTCCCTGGGGTGTTTGGTCGTCCATCGGTGGTACACAGGCTGGATTGCGGAGGTGGATGTAGGGTAAGTGATGGCTGGGGAGGCTTGGGTTTCCCTGGGCTTCTGTAAGAGTAGCTGACTGCACAAAAACAAAATGGAAAGGACAGAAATGTCATTTTTTGACAGTATCGTGTTTTCTAAGTGGCCCTGCTTTCCTGAGACAGCAAGGAGTCACTTGGCTATTTTAGAGGGAGTCTGGCCACTCACTTTTCTGGCCAGCAAAGTGAGTTTCCTTGTAACGCTGCAGTGGAGAAGTTGAGTGCTGTAATTTTCATTCAGCTTGGAGTAATGTGATTATTCATAATAGCCAAGCCTTGAGTCTTGGGTTAACAGCCATAGGGTGTTGATTAGTTATCAAATAGGCCTTCACAGTGCAGCTGCATGTGTTCACAGGCTGGGGAGTTACTGTATTTTTAAATTTAAACGGGTCAGAAAGGCACATTTCTGTTTGTTTTGTCACATCAAGGCTTTTGCTTGAGGAAAAAAACGCTGCTTGTGTGTGTAGTCAGTGCACTGCTGCATACTGATAGATGCAGGCATGCTTTAAAGTGTTAGCAGTATCAAACACAATTATAGTATGTAATTAAGGAAAGGGGTGCTTCTTTTATTCCCCTAAGTAAGTGATTGTTGCTGACATGGGAAGTGTTTCTGATATTTACCAGCTTACTTTTTAATTTTTTTTTTATCTTAGTGTTAAGGCAAAACCAAGAAAAAAAAAGTTTGAGTGTATTGAAACTGGTATCAGCTACTGTGATTCTTACTCTAAAGGGAGGCACTGCAATTGCATCAAATGGCTTAAAATGAGTTGTTGCATTAAGGAGGTAAGTGGCTCAACTGTAACAACACAATGACATGTGCATGATGGGAGTGTGTCAATAAAAATACAATTATTTAAGCACTGGCTAGGGAAGCCCACTCTGACTACTAAAATGCACAGCTCTGAGGTGTTGTGTGTTTTTTAAATGGAGAAACTAAGATGCATTTAATGACTTCAGAGATATTTTGTACGTGACATCTTGCAAATTTAACAGTTGAATAACTGAACCCAGCCTGCAGTCTTGGAAATCACAGGAATCCTTGGTGAGAAGATAATTGGTAAATTGTATCAAATATACTGTAGCTTAGCCATTGCTTGTCTTCTACAGATATACTTTATTAAATGCTAGGTAAGTCGAAGTATAGTTAACATTTAATAAGCAAGATGGAAAAGCTGAATGAGACGTCTGCACTTTAAGAGTTATGAAAGCTTCTGTAAAGAGTGTTGGTTGGTTTCAACATAGGCTGCATTGGTATCTGTGCCATCTGATTTTGAATATTCTGTGGTATCTTTGAAATTTGGCAAATGAGTAAAAATATAACGAATTGGGAACCTACAACATTTTACATACTTTTGTGAGGTAGGAACTGAACAGTAATGGTTATTGTCATGTCAGATTGGTTAATCCCTGAGAGTGATTCTTTTTTGTTACTGATAGCTAAACTTTAGTGGGTCTCTATGTTTGTAAATAATAAATATTTTCATCTCGCTTATTTTGTTTGTGTACAGTTTAATGCAGGTGTTCAAGGCTTCCTTAAAAACAGCGCTACAGAATTTGCTTGAAACAGTGCTTTGATAGTTGGCTTTGAATATGACCAAGTATCTTTTCCTCCACACCAGTTACCACTCACAGATGCTCTGAAGGTGAATTTGTTATTCTAATAGAAATCAGTCATGTGTAATGTAGGAGTATTCAGATAGTTGAGCCGCCTTTAAAACTGCACGTATAATTTCTCAGTTACTTTCAGGGAGAACTTAATGAGCTTGCAAGTGTTCTGCGTTATGTGTCTAAAGCAGGGGCAGGGAGATAATCACTTCAGAGTTTCTATAAAATCATAGCAGACCTTACGAAAATGTAAGGTAGTTACGCCTGTCCATCCGTAGATGCTACTAGAGCATTTGATTGAAAACCGGAACTGCCACTTTTGTGCGTGGAAACAAAGACTGACTATTTTAAGTGACAGAAAACTAATGCTGTCCTTTGTCATGGGGCTGGGTACAAGAAAATGTGCTCTTTCCATCAGTGGGAGATGCTCTTTGGCTTAATTACTCCTTTTTTAAATCTTACTGGTGCAACTAAGATGTGGACAGCATTGCTGGTCATGCCTTGCTTTACAGCAATAGACTCTTCCCCTCTGCCCCATGCTCTGGCTCTGAGCTGCGACTCTTTATGAAATGCTGGCCATTGGGAAAGATTGCTATGGGGAAAGCTGTTATAATCAAGTTACTTTCACAGTGCTGCAAGGTATCATTTTGATAGTCTTGCAGTGAATTGCCATCAGTTATTTGACATGCTTGAAACTGAGGGAAATATTTGAGGCCTGTCTTATTTTAACAAGCTAGCTGAATTGGTTCAATGTAGTTTCGGTATCTGATGTGCAGACAAAGCAAGCTATGGTTGGAAGGCTATGCTGAAAACAGTCTTTGTAACTAAATTTCAGATATGTGATGATAAACAACTGAAATGAACTAATTTTCAGAAAAGGCACTTGACAGAAGGGTGAAGAACGCACAAACAGCATACCCAAAGCCATAGTAATATCCTGGCTGGATTTCATGATGACTGAGGGCACTGCAACTTCTCTCTAATGCGAGCTGGGGCTTGGACTGTGGCCACCTCCTCCGTCCCTTTCCCTTTGGGGAAGGCGTGGGTGTTTGTGTTGAGGTTCTGGTGCCAGCTCTGTGTCCATCCACTCCTCTGTCTTGCACTCAGGTGCAGCTACACTGGGGCTAAGGACCTGCATCCCTCTCCTCGTAGCATCCTCTGAATGGCTCGTGGCTTGGACTATGATCTTGTAATTCAGGCAGTGGTGCCACTCTGGTAGCCAGGTAGGGGACTTGTGCTGCTGGGCTTGCCAGGAGGCAGATCTGGAGCCCATAAAGGAGCTGAATAATAAACCTATCTAGTGGGTTACCTGTGAACATGCGGAGGAGTGCAGAGATGCGTGGGTTTTGTGTGGACTAGGTCAGGATACTGGAATTGTGCCACATTGGCTTTAATAATCTTTAGAATTGCATCCAGTTCACTTGGTGCAAATATCTAACATTTTGTCCAATTTAAACCTTACTTACATTAGTTTAGTTTAAATTTGGTGTTTAAAGAGCTGTAATTATCTGTCTGCTTTAGAAATTCGTAGTGATTTAGCGAGATCAATTTTAAACTGATTTTAATTAAACCAAGGAACCTTTTCCATTTTTACAGATGAGGTCTGTGACTAGCCTTTGTAAATGGCAATAAAGTATATCCAGTCTTAGAATGACTTTTTTCTGCATGACTGATTTCTGCTGCTGAAGGCAAATTAAGGCTGTTATTTTGTATATAAACTAAAAGAATTAAATACTAAAGAACATTTTGTTCAATTTCTGTTCCCTTACTCCAAGAGCAGTTCCTATTTGTTAAGACTTCTATTAAATTACTCCCAGTACAGCATTTCACTGTCTTTTTATAGTAGACAGGCTGATGGACTCCATGACCTTTTTTATTTCTGGTTTCTGTGATGCCTTTTCCTCTGACAAAAGAGAAAGTAAGAGACAGCTGGGGTATTATAATTTATGGTGATAGGAAGCAGAATACAGAAGCTTAACTGCAGTCACATGGTGAGATGTGCCACTATGCTAGTATGTGGAAAATGTATAAATTGCTTTTGCTGAAGGTTATTGGGCGAGACTGTAGTGAATGTTGCGAAAAGTCTCCGGGGAAGTTTCAGGTGTAACACTTAAATTTTTGTATAGGATATCATTGTAGTCATGTGTGTACAAGAACTGTGTTAGGAATTGCTGAGGTGTTTAGACTATGTGCACATATCTCAATGTAAAAGCTGATAAAGTGTTGTGGTTAGAGATTAATATTAAGTATATTGCATGTAAAGAAATTTTTTCTTCTGAAAGTTGTGTTTTTGAAAGAGCTCTGTGTGGGTGGTGAGAATATTTCTAACACCTGAGATTCTGGCAATTGATTCTGTTTTAGTGAGTAGAGGTCACCAGATCCCTTGGAAGGGTGATTCTGGCAAATAGGCCTGGTCAATATGTTTTTGTGTTACAAAATGGATGATAGTGCAGAGTTTATATTCCCAATGATTGTGTGCACGGCAGAAGAATGGAATACCTTTTGACTAGCAGTAAATCCATAAGAGATTGAAAATCGTCACTGTGTTATTTTTACCTGTATTTTTTATAGAAATGTACAGAAAACAAAGACAAGATACCACATTCTGATCTGCCACTTTTAATGTTCTTTGGGTTTTTTTTGTCTTGATTCTTTCTATTCTGCTCTGCATGCAGCAAATTTGTATTTTCGTCTATGTAATGTATATGTAGGGA